AAGGACAGTATGTACACCATGACACGCATTGCTCTCATACACTGTGTTTGAGAACAAAATAATTAGTGCAGAAACCCACAGGCTATTTTCAAATTGCCTGCAAGGCTGCCTCCACATGAATCTTTAGCTTGTGCCTATACTTGCAGAGCAGTGTGGCAATAGATGTGTAAATATAGCAAGACATTTTCTGAAGCTGGGGGAATACAGTTTGATGTGCTGTTTCCTAAAGGACTAAGATGTGAATATTAGAGATCCTTGGCTGTGTTTCAGAGAAGCACCTGGAAGCTTGGATGCATGTAATGTCACTTCTCCAGCTGAGAAGGAAAATCAAAAAATAGGCTTTCTTAAAATAATGTTTCAAAGTCTCACATCCCAGGCATTGCTGTCACACCTAGATGTCCTGCTGCCTTTGGTATTCCTGCTTTTAGATGAATTTACTCCTGGAAATGGTGAGATGAGAACAAGTTTTAAAGGAAGGATGAAGCAGACAGCTCCCTTGGCAGGAGTTTGGTTTCTGAAATCAGGTTGAATGTCAAGGACTTTTTCAGATCAGTTAATTCATTTGTAGGGTTTCCAGCTGACTCGAGCTGTTCTGTCCTTATGCTATATAGGATTTATGTACTGATATGATTAGGAAAAAAAGTCATTTATGGACCTGGAGATACCTTTAATCTTTCAAGTCCAAATCAGGTTTCTCAAAAATGCCATTGAGGAGAATTCCATTGATTCTCATCTAGTTATTCAAGCTTGCTTGCTTCCTTGAAACAATATTACATTTGTGAATGTATTCATCTCTGTATACATTATGTTTTCCTTCATATGCATTTGATTTCACTTGTGAAAGTCATGTGTGTTAGTTTTTTATCTTGTCTTTAATGAGCTGTATTTCATTGTAGTGTATTATGTATTATATTTAAAGTATACACAGAGAAATGCCACAATCTATAAAATGCAAGTACATATCATATATGGGGAAATTAATAATTTCAGGGGAAAAAATTAAAATTGTGATTGAATCAAAGCAATCCTGTTCTTTGTTTATCAGACACAAAGTCTGATATACTCTCACTATGTTAAGAACATCCGAAACTCATTTGTAATTAAAAAATGTCATTCCTTTATTCAAATAATATAATTAAGTAATGCAAACCATTCACAGAATAAAAGAGGTTAAATTGTATTTTTCACTCAAAACAGATTATAATTAGTTCCTGGCAGAATGTGGTCCTGATACAATGCACTATTTTCTTGCTGTTGTGACTATTGTGTATGGGCTATGCTGCAAAGGCTGAAAGTGGGTAGGTACACTCCCACTCTTTGCTATTTAGAGTCTTTCAGGTGTCCACTTTAGAACCATACCAAAGCATCCTTTTGCTGATGCAAATAGTGATGTTTTTTCCTGCGCAAAGCCTGCATTTCTTTCCACTTCAGGACAGAACTTCAGGGATCAAATCATATACTGCGGAAAATGTTTAAAGGTTCAGCTTTAGAAAAAAAGAAACAGGAGCATGCTTTCATGCTTCCCAAGGCCATTTCAGAGAATTCCTGCTTTCTGGTTCTTGTAACAGTCTGCAGTGGATGAGCATATAGTTGTTTGTGTACATATTCACTTGGAATGGCTATTTAGTGTTAATTTCCAAGACCAAGACCCTAAATATAAGACTCATAATACAAGAGAGTCAAATACACCAGAAAGCTGCTGCAGTATCCAAAAAAAAAAAAAAAAGTGCAGAAACTGCAGATGAGAAGTGGGAATTCTGATTCTTATTCTTCATGAACAGCGGCCCTACAGATCTTGTCCAGTCTCTGTTCATTTCTGAGTGGCAAATAAGTCTTCCTGACTGCACCTGCATTGCTACAATGTTTGTTTGATAGTATTTTAGTTCCTCTTTGAAATAGGGATAAAGTGGTTTATATGAACATATACTCAGCAAATACAACTATACAATAAATATATTCTAATTAATTAATTATCCATTTAGTGCTACAATAATTCACTTTATTTCTAACCATTCCCAGTGAATTATTTATATAGTGACATTTATTAGCAAACTACCATTTGCATCACTTCTACATCATTCTTCTCGTTATTAATTTACTTTCAATAATTCTTTACTGCTTCATCTAATCAATAAAGAAAAATGGATGGAGTCCATGAAGCATTTAATTTTATCTTAATTCTATATCCCTAATACCACTGCCAATAGCCAAGAGCAGATACATAATATATTAACTGGCAATTCCTCCCCTTTGTACATTCCCTTGTCTCTTTTTCTCTCCTGTATGCCAGTATCCCTGAGTTTGTTCTGTAAAAGCAGATGATGATTTCCTATTAATGACTATTTAAATAACAGAATTACATAGCTATTGTACTTGCTTCTTTATGTCCCAGACAGTGACTATGAATTAATTAGCATTAGAACTGTGGAAATTCCTGTGAGTTTAACATTGTATTTTGTGTGCACTGTTGAATGATTTTACACTTCCTAATGCAAAACTGATGATATCTCTTCAAACCTCTGGGGGAGTGTGTGAGGTCATTAAAGTTAGATTTGCAAAGAAAGTATATGGATTTCTCGCTCACATTATTTTTTCCTGTGCTGATAATGCTATTCTTGAGTTCTTGTTCAGAGTGGCTTGTTTGGATTGAAAGATTCTTTATCCTATTCATCTACCTTTCCCAACTTTTCATTTCATGAGGGAAATGAACTGTGTTTTTTCAATACTTAAAACATTCCTACAGGAAAACAAGAACTTACATTTTCAGCTCCCAGGGCTGTCATCAGAGATAATGGATACAGAAAGGCAGCTTAGTGTGAAAAAGCAAATATACATGTCAGAAATGAAAACACCAATTTATACCATGTCTCTTTCCTGTCTTCATTGCTGATAGCTTATTTTGTCCATGAAGGAAGATTCCAGAAGTAACTTTGGTAGTTTTTCATGCAGACATCTGCATGGGAAGAAAAATGATGAAGTTTTATAATAAAAATTCTCCCTGGAATCCTAAGTTCACTTCATATTTCTGCTGATTGTTTGTTATTATTTTTATTTTTAAAATGAGGGGGTTTTCAATTCATGGATTCATGGGAGCTCACATTATTAGCACCCTGCCAGAGAAACATTGGCAGACAGAATCCCTCCTGAAAGCAATTAATCTCTCTGTACTACATACTGAGCAAAATCTTAGTGTGTTATGCCAAGTGAATTGTTTAAACAGATTTTATCTCCAGAATTTACTTTTTTTCTCTTTTAAAATATTCTCTCTTTTTTTGTTTTGTTTTCTTTCAAAGTAAATAGCAACATGTATTTAGGCTTAAATTTAGCATTTTCTATTAATAGAACTTCTTAAAATTTATAATATTTAAGAAATATATTCTTGATTGTAAAGTTCTAAAGAAAGCTGTTTAATTGGGAAGAAAAATACTGGCTAGGCATCCAGAACTAAAGCTTGTTGAAATGATTAAACAGCTTTTAAAAGCTGACAAAATAAATGTTTTCTTCATGCCAGTTTGATTTACTTCAATAACTAGTTCAAAGTTAAGGAACTGCCTAGAAATAGAATAAGCTGAAGCATCATTATCATTAAATGGCCTATGAATAAATTCTCAGTCTGGGATCCTGAGACTTATTAATTCATTCATTAGCTGTATGTAAAATTAGCTTTTGTAGTAAACCAGTTTTAAATATAAAATGCTTGATACATTTTTCCTCTGTATACAACATTTATTGCAATTTTATTTAAATAATAAATACACTTGAAAGGCAAGGATTTTGCATTTCAATTGCAATTCCCATTTCAATCCAAAGCAGCTGGATACAAGGCGTAAGTAAATAAACATTAATCTTCTAGTAAAGAAGAATTATCATTCATTTCTACCAGAATGCTCTGTAAGTATTTATCAGTTGAATAATTATGCTGATCTATATAATTTCTGAAATGGGAATGTAAGGTGTTTTTCTGGTAGTGTGTGGAAGCAACAGATTAGTTTAAAGGTCAGATTCATTTCAAAGCAACATTTTTTTTTCCCTAAATTTACCTTCAAATTCCCTTGAGGAGAAAAGAATAATACACATTTAAAATAAGTATAGAAAGGTCTATTTTTTAACAATTGTTTTGCAGCTTTTGTATTTTCAAGAAACTAATGTTTTAAATCTCATGAGAAATAGTTTTGTATTGAATGCTTTAAATATTTGTCATATTTTACTAAAATATTATCATTTAGGGCCTTGTAAATAGGCAATTCTGTGATATATTGGAGATAGAATGGCTATATAAATTAAAATATATAGCCCCCTACTTTAAATCTTTACTCACTATTTTAATTCTGTAAAAAAAAATCCAACATTTTTAAAATAAATTTAATTTCCAGATGGAAGAAAGTAAGTTTTGACATTTTCTACTTATTAAAATTCTGTTTAAAAGGGGTGAAAATATCAAAATGGGCATTTTTTCCCTCATCAAAAGTAAGGCAGTCAGTTTAAATTTTGATATAACAAGAGTAACATAAATTTATTTTTAATAGATTTTATGTAGATTTATGCTCACATTGTCATTGATTTAGTTTATACATAGATGATGCTGACATTTTAATTAGAAAAACTTGGTTGCTTTATATTAGGCTTCTTTAATGACTTATCAAAATCAGAAAATTCATATTCTTTCTTGAAAACATAAACCACAGCAGGTCCCCTTAAATCACACAGATGACAGAGACACCTACTTGCTCAAAGTTGTGAATTAATTAATGTGTTTCAAAGATGTAATTGCTAGAGAAGAGGTTCAGAGCATGGTTTAAAAGCTGCTCTTTTTTGTGTGTATCTGGCATTGGGCAATGAAATCTCAGCAGCAGAGGTTCGTTTCTCTGAGCTAAAGGAGAGGAAGAGGTTTTATTGTGCCAGTGGTGGAGAACATATTTAAAGCAGCAAGGATCTCACTGTTTTCAGCCAAGTGCTGACATACTAATTATGCCTTAACTGCATCTCCTGTTTCCTCCTAGGTCTTACTGCTGCAGCATCCCTTGTATCCCTGGCTTGGGCTTTGGCTTCCTACCAAAAGGCCCTCCGTGACTCCCGCGATGACAAGAAGCCCATCAGTTATATGGCTGTTATAATCCAGTTTTGCTGGCACTTCTTCACGATTGCAGCAAGGGTCATTACTTTTGCTCTCTTTGCCTCGGTTTTCCAGCTGTACTTTGGGATCTTCATCGTGCTGCACTGGTGCATCATGACCTTCTGGATCGTTCACTGCGAGACAGAGTTTTGCATCACTAAATGGGAGGAGATAGTTTTCGACATGGTTGTTGGGATAATCTATATCTTCAGCTGGTTCAACGTCAAGGAAGGGAGGACACGTTGTAGGCTTTTCATTTACTATTTTGTCATCCTTTTAGAAAACACCGCCTTGAGTGTTCTCTGGTATCTGTACAAGGCCCCTCCAATCTCCGATGCATTTGCCATACCAGCACTGTGTGTAGTGTTCAGCAGCTTTTTAACAGGCATTGTTTTTATGCTAATGTACTATGCCTTCTTTCACCCCAACGGACCAAGGTTTGGGCAGTCACCAAGCTGTGCTTGTGAGGACCCTGCCGCTGCCTTCACCCTTCCCCCAGAAGTGGCCACGAGCACACTGCGCTCCATCTCCAACAACCGGAGCGTCACGAGCGAGCGGGATCAAAAATTTGCAGAGAGGGATGGGTGTGTGCCGGTGTTTCAGGTGAGACCCACTGCACCATCCACACCTTCCTCCCGGCCACCAAGGATTGAGGAGTCTGTCATTAAAATCGATCTGTTCAGGAACAGGTACCCAGCATGGGAGAGACACGTGTTGGACAGAAGCCTGAGGAAGGCGATCTTAGCGTTTGAATGTTCCCCTGCTCCTCCACGGCTACAGTATAAAGATGATGCCCTTATTCAGGAGCGCTTGGAATATGAAACCACATTGTAAACAAAGCAAAAACACAGCTTGGAGCAGCTCCAACGTTACAGTCCAAATTAAGGGTTGACAGTAGGGCCGTAGGAACAACCAAACTGCGTACTATAAGTAGAGCAGCAAGCTATAGCGTTCTTAGTCTGGCTATCATCATGATTATCATTTGATCCACTGTGTGCAGTCTGTCTGCAGGACACTGATACAGCAGCATCGTCTGAAAGCCTCAAAAAACCCCAAACCCTGACCCACACATACAGATCAGTCACATCAGCGGGGGGAACTCACCCATTACCCCTCACTGCTATGAAACTCTGACTGCACAGTACTTACAATCAAACCAATATAAAGGCTCTGACCAGAGCTTTCAGCTTCAGCCAGTCGTGCATTTTATTTTAGAAATGAATGATTGATATTTCAATAACCAATGGCAAAAATAAAAAAAAAAAACCCACACCTTTTCAAAAATAACAAAAGTGTAGCACACAGTGTTGCTGTTGGGAAAACTGTTTTCTGGGGCAAAAACCAGGAGCTTAGTAGTCTTCAACACTCCCATAAATCAACCATTCAGGTTAGAATAGGTTTGCAGAATAGTTCTTAATTAAAAAGAAATATCATCAAGTTTATAAGGCTGTCAATGGAAAATAAACTAAATTATGATTAACTAGGTCATTAAAGTTAACATTACCAGAACTGTTTGTTTTCTGTGGAATTTCAAAGTCTTTTTTAAATGCAATTAACTTCTTGATATTATTTTCAACAGAAACTCTATGCAGCTCACTTCTAGTTTTGAGGAGAAATAAGGAGCTCTAGCACGTAGTGATATTCATTAAATGATAATCATGATTCAGTGTACAATTTGCAAAAAAAAAAAAAAAAAAGTAAAAGAACAAGGAAGTATAGTTTTCATATTCTAAACTTTTTGGAGGACCCCTTTCAGATATTTCAGAAGAAACCACAAGGAGCTGAACACACTGAAACTTCTCTGTTTCAGGACTGAGAACGCATGATTCAGTGTGTGAATGTATGCAGGTGTGACAAGAGACTGACATGCCATGCCCTTCTAGTGCCAAACATTGTATAACTGCAAGGTTGATATTGCCTGAGGGACACAACAAGTGGCACAAGCCCTACCAGAAAAAGAAGCAGGAAAGACCAACCAAGCTCTCAATGTGTAGAGACAGCTCTGATTTTTCCCCCTGAAGGTGAAAGTGATGTCTTTTAAAGGCTTTCAGCTGCCTCTTAGTAAGTATATTCACCGAAGTATAATATAAATGAGAAGATTATGTGGAAGAGCCTCTTCTGCCTGTTCAAGACTGGTGTCCAGACATGTCTAAAAATTAGAATCTCTTGTAATAGAGTGCTTTTGATGCAAGCTTTTGGGTTTTAAATACCTCCCTAAATCTAGTTAAAGGTATTATACTTTATGTTAAAAGTATCCCCTGATGGTGCTTTCAGATGCATTAAAGGTGCAAGTCAAAATTTGATAGTATTTTTTTTAAAGCTGGTGCAGAGTGAAAAACTCATGGATTATTTCAATATTTTTGTAAAGTAAAAATATGGTATAAAAGGTTACTTTTTATAAACCTCAAATCTTTTAATACATTTCATTCTCTTTATAGCTTAGATTTTAAGAATTGGTCCATGAATTTTATCAAATGGCTTTTGCAGGTTGACATAAACCTGGTTTTCACACATTATGGATTTGTTTTGCAGTGTAATGCCATATGAAAGCCTACATGGGTACTTTTAGAATACTCTATAAACTGTGGATCCTGCTTCAAATGTAAGTGGCTTGTAAAGACACCAAATGATTCCATGAGAAACAATTTGCTATAACTATTTCCATCCATTTTAGGAGAGCAAAGCAGAACTGAAGAGTTACTGTTGTAAATGGCATTGTCAGGATGGAGAAGATCTGATAATTGGACTGTCAGATATATCCAGTGTAGTCACTGCTGTGTATGCTGCTGGGTAAATTTCTGTCTTTCCTATTACAAATATTTGTACTATGAAATGGCCAAGGTTACACAGACTATGTTTGTTTGTATGCGTTCAATTAGCCATTTTTAATGTTGACTTTTTTTATTAGTGAAATATTCAATACCTGTTGTTCTTTGCTGGGGCAAGTTCCTCTAAACAAAAACTTGAGGAAGTGCAGGAATCTGCAAAGCAGAGGGAACATTACACAGATGAGAAAAAAACCTATGCTTCAGGGGTTTCTTAGGTATTTTCAAATTAAGCAATTGCCAACTGCCTCTATAAAAATTTTTTAAAGAAAACAAATCTTTGATAGTCCAAACCTGAAGCTTTTTACAAAGTGATTACCCTTTTCCTCATGGAGATACAGCTGATTATTCAGAGAAAAGCACTCATGTTTTTTCAGAAAATATACCACTGCAAAAAATGCTAAAAAAAGATTTTAGAAGCAAGTCCTTTGTCCTGTTGCATTCAATAGACCCTTCACTCCAGAACCAAATTCCAGTTCATGCAAGGAAATTGCTGTTTTTCTTTACAACGAAGGCAAATGTAAGCTCTGTGATCCAAGATGTGGGGGTTTCTTTTGGAGACAGTTCAAAGTGTTTGCTGCTACTTTAACAACTCGGAAATTGCAGCCTGAGTGAGGCACAGTGGGCAGCCTTCTTGAGCTTCAGACTCCCACCAGCAGCTCCTGGGGACAGGAGCAGCATCGCTGCTGTCAGCGAGGCTCTGCCTCTTCTGAAGTCCCTCTCATCCTCTCGCTCTTCCTCAGAGCTCTGAGCCCTTTGGCCAGGCTTACAGAATTGAAGAAAAGTTGCTTTGTATGGAATTTAAAGGGTTAAGGTCTTCACCAGTGCTTGCATTGCAAGGTTTCTGAAGAGGGTTTGGGATGAGTTTGTTTGATTTGCTTTTATTTGGTTTTGGAAGGAAGGACACAGAGGTGTTCTTTATCCATGCGGTTTTTCATGCCTAGCATTTATTTTCTTTACTCTCACAGCATTTTTAATTTTTTAAACTAATGTTTGCAAAAATGTTTATCTAAAGGAAACTACTGCAGGGTGTGAGTGCAGAGTGACATATATGTGTGTGTTTGTGTACATATATTTATATATACGCAGCACTACATGTACACACCTTGTCCTCAGAATTCAGTCTGGTGGTTTGAGGCAGGGGTAGAAGTCCTTATGCACTAAGTCAAAATTTGCTCTTCAAAATCTTGCTCTCTTACAATCATAACATCAGTGTCACCTGCACTGAGAACAGGGCAGTGACTTAACACTGATGACTGCATGGACAGTTTCCTAATTTGCATTGCTGTGAGTCATCATATTAAAAGCTGTAAGAATTTTTTATAGAAATTGCCAAGAACAAACATAGTCCATACCAAAATTCCATTATGGCCTTATGGACAGTTAATAATCAATATGCACTCTTCTTTTTGCCACAGACAGTTCTAAAATCAATGAAGTTCAACTGAGACAGCAATAGCAAAAATAAAATTTTTAAAAAGGGACTTGTAAAAAAACCTGAACTTTTGCTTTTCAAATAATGAAAACATCAGGCCTTTTAAATTTCACAGCAGAATACAGGAATATAAAAAAGTTCATATTTTCATATTTACATTCTGGCAAAGAAAAGCAATCACATATATTTGTTAGCAGTAAGACTTACAGGAGCATTGTTCTAATGAGCTGAACAAACTTAGCAGCAGACTTAATGATAATTTATCTGGTTAAAAACTTGGTCCTAAAATTTGGAGAGTTGTGGATTTGTCTGTTGCAGAAAAGACAATTCAGCTAGTATCACTAATTAAATAAAGGTAATGTATACCCATGTTCATTCAGAAAACATGCAAGAAAATGTAAGAGAAAACTTTTTACTTATTTAAAAAGCTGTTTATTCTGTAATGGGATAATTTTTCTTTAAAAATTTATTTACAAATATGTGCAATACTTTCTTTCCATGCATATTTAATAATGAAAATACTAATATCCAATTTTATTTATGTCAATTTAAATATTCTTCTTGTGACAGAGCAATGTTTCTTTGTTTGGGTTATATGGACTTGATGGCATATACACAGTATTTTAATTGTCAAACCAACAAATTTTCTATTAATTATTTTTTATGAAATTGGAGAAAATTTTCCTTCCAAAATTTAATGCTAGGTCTGATCTGCCTGATTTTGTAAACTTTTAAGCAGAGGAGGAAAATTACAATTTTTATTGGCAATTTAATTTTTAATATGTGGTGAATAGCTATTAAACCTGTATTCGTTTAAAACATATGATGGTCTTTCCAATACATCATTATCTCCCCAAAAGAGCAATTCATAAGTGGTACTAAAAGTAGAAGTGCTGCTTTACTTGGAAAGGGACTCCCAGTCATGCAATATGTTCATTTACTTTTTATTGGCCAGAAAAATATTCACAACTAGACTGTTGGGGTTTTTAGAACACAAATTAAATGAGTTTGAAGTGTTTGTGATTTTATCATATCATTCCTAAAGAGCCTTAAAAGTGGCACTGTACTGAGTTTTAGTTGGTTCTGCCAGTGAATCATCTTCCAAAGCCCCTGCCCTTTCTCTGCTCCCTGCCTGAACCTGTGCAATCCAGAGTGGCTGAGATTTGCTCTGTGATTTACTCTGCACTCCCTGCACTGCCTGCACAATGCCAAGGAAAAGACTTCAGCAGATTCCTGGGGTCCTACTGCTGCCTCTCTTACTCCTGTGCATGGTGGGAAGCAGAGTAAATTGCATCTGTGCATCCATCTAAACAAGCTTGTGTAAGTTAAATTCCTACAAGATGTGTGTGATGCTATTAATGGCAACACTTGTCCATAAATCTACAAGCCCAACACCACAATTACTAATTCTGCAGTGTGACAGTGCAGGACATGGGAAAAATTGTCTAAATACACAATAAGCCATTTAATTTCACTACTTGTAGCAATTATACTAGCTCACATAGAGCCCATGCTCTCAGCAGAAAGCCAAATGGAGTAAGTGGCAAACAGCCATTTGTGTACCAGAGACATTA